CAATTCCGTTTCCAGTTTAGATTTTTCCTCCTGGAAACCAATATTTTATCTAAGTTAAAAACCTCCCTTATTTGATAATAATGCAGCCAATCTCGAACTTTAGTTTTTAATTTATCAAAGCTCTGCAATTTTAATTTATCTCCAACTTGTTCTAAAATTTCACAATATTTTGGCCAGTTTGTCTCCATATTTGTTTTTTCAAAGCCTTAGCCTCCATTGGTGACAGCCACCTTGGTGTTTTACTTTCCAACAAATCCTTATACCTCACCCAAACATTGAATAATGCTTTCCTGACAATATGATTCTTGAAGGCCTTATGCGCTTTGACTTTATCATACCATAAATATGCATGCCACCCAAACACATTATCAAAACCTTCTAAATCTAAAATGTCCACATTTTCAAAAAGTAGCCAATCTTTCAGCCAACAAAAAGCGGCTGATTCATAATAAAGTTTAAGATCTGGCAGGGCAAATCCCCCTCTTTCCTTTGCGTCTGTTAGTATCTTAAATTTTATTCTAGGCTTTTTGCCCTGCCAGATAAATTTGGAAATATCTCTTTGCCACCTCTTGAAACAGTCCATTTTATCCACAATTTGTAATGTTTGGAACAAAAACAACATTCTAGGCAATACATTCATCTTTATCACTGCAATTCGGCCCAACAATGATAACTTCAATTTTGACCATATTTCTAAATCCTTCTTCACCTCTGACCAACATTTTTCATAATTATCTTTAAACAGATTCACATTTTTGGCAGTCATATTCACCCCTAGATATTTCACTTTATTAACAATTGTTAATCCTGTCTCTTTCTGAAACCTCTTCCTTCTCTATCTCTGTAAGATTTTTCTCTAATACCTTAGTTTTCATCTTGTTTAATTTAAAACCTGCTACTTGACCAAATTCTTGGATTGATTGTAACACTCTTTTTGTACTAGCTTCTGGCTCCTGTAATGTCAAAACTAAGTCATCGGCAAAAGCTTTCAATTTGTACTGTTTAGCTCCGAGTTGTATACCTTTAACCAATTGGTCTTTTCTAATCATATTGAGCAGAACCTCGAGGACCGATATAAAAAGCAATGGGGAGATTGGGCAACCCTGTCTTGTTCCTTTCTCTATCTTAATTTCTTCTGTAACTACATTGTTCACAATAAGCTTAGCTTTTTGTTCCGAATAAATTGCACTTATACCATTTTCGAAACTTTGGCCTACCCCCATCCCCTGCAAATTTTTCTTCATAAAGCTCCAAGAAATATTATCAAACGCTTTCTCTGCATCTACAAATATTAAAACAGCTTTAATATTGATATTAACTTGCAATTTTTCCAAAATATTAATGATGTTCCTAGTATTGTCTGACAAATGTCTCCCAGGGAGAAAGCCCGCCTGGTCTTTATGAATCTCTTTTACCAGTACATTTTTTAATCTTTTAGCCATAATTTCGGCAAAAATTTTGTAATCCACGTTTAGTAGGGATATGGGACGGTAGTTCTTCAACTGTGTCTTCTCCCCTTCGGTTTTTGGTAAAAGTGTAATGTATGCTTCTTTCCACGACTCAGGTGCTTTTCCTCCCCGTAGTATTTCATTACAAAGTTCTTTCAACGGTTGCAGTAACCATTCTTTCAAAGTTTTGTAGTACTTTGCAGTTAGTCCATCCGGCCCTGGAGATTTGCCCAATTTCATATTCTGAATGGCTCCTTCCACTTCTTGGTCAGATATTGTAGAGTTTAATATTGATTTACTGTCTTGAGATATTTTTTGTAATCCATTATTTTCCAGAAATCGGTCAATGTCTAGTTCTTTCTGAGTCTCCTGCGTATATAACTGTTTAAAATAATTCTGAAAGCACTTCCGAATCTCTCCAGGATTCTGTATATTCTTCCCTTCTACAACCAAGTTCGTAATCGTATTCAGCTTTTGTCTTTTTTCATTTGCCAGGCCAGTAACTTCCCACATTTATTTGCCGATTCGAAAGTCTTTTGTTTCATCTGTTTGATCTTCCATTCTATCTCCTGGTTCATCAATTTCATATATTGTACTTGGTATAGCTTTATCTCTTTTAAAATCTCCTGTGAGTTCGGTTTCGCTCTCAGTCTTTTTTCTCCATCCTTAATTTTCTCCAAAATTTTTTCTCTCTTCTCATTTTGATATCTTTTCCTAATTGCATTTTGTTGTATCAAAAATCCTCTCATCACCGCTTTACTGGCATCCCAAATCACTCTTTTTTCTGTCATAGTATTCAAATTTATTTCAAAATAGTCTCTCAAATTCTTCTGAGCCTTTTAATAATTTCCTCATTCCTAAATAAGGAGTCATTCATCCTCCATCTAAAGGCCCCAATTGGCGTTGATATCATTTCAATCTTTACTGGATTGTGGTCAGAGCAAATTTTCGGGCAAATCACCGCTTTTTTAATTTTAGGAGCCAGTCCTCTAGTTGTCCAGATTTGGTCTATTCTTGTCCATGTCATATTTGCTTCAGAGAAGAAGGTTCCTTCTCTTTCCAAGGGGTTCTTTATTCGCCAAATATCCACAAGATCCATATTGTCAGTCATTTCAAAAAATGTCCTTGGCAGTCTTCCATCTTTTGTCACTGTTGCTTTGATCTATTTACAAAGTCTCTTTGCTTTGATCTATTTACAATGAAAGGAAGGCAGACTTCCTGGTTGTACCTTCCCGCTCAGTACCAAATTAGACATTTTTTTCCCTTTTGAATCCAATTTAATCCTACTCACGGGTAGTTGTTTTCAAAGTCCAATTGTCCCAGGAAAAAGGCAGCGCTCTCCGGTAACAGCTTCGCGGCTTCGCTCCACGGAAGAAGCAATTTGCTCACAGCACCACGCCACCCCCGCTCCGCTCCGGAGCCTGTTGCCGAGCTCCTTTTGCAATTGGGGGGGCGCAAACGGTGCCCGCTGAGTCGGTACTTTCTATCATATGTGGTGGGAGTGTAAAAGGGTGAAAGGCTTATGGGAAATGATATACAATGAATTGAAAAAGATGTTGAAATATACGTTCGTTAAAAAACCAGAGGCCTTTCTATTAGGAATGGTAGGAAACGAAATTAATAAGAGAGACTGTAAACTGTTTCAATATGCAGTGACTGCCGCAAGGATACTTCTGGCCCAAAGATGGAAACAGGAAGAAATTCCAACAGTGGAAGAATGGAGAAGGAAATTGACTGAATATGCAGAATTGGACAAATTGACTGGGAAGATTCGATATCAGAAAGACCAAAAGTTTATCGAGGACTGGGGAAAATTTACAGAATATCTGAAAAATATATGTGATGTATAGACAACGCTTGTTGGTTTTGAAGAGACTCTGTGAGATAGTAAGAAATAGTGCAAAAAAGAGAGTAAGAGGAAAAGGAGTTGGGAAAGGCAATATCATGTTTAGAAATGCGTCAACAAATAGAAATTTTACGAAAGATTGACAGAGAAACTGAGGGAAGTCAAAAATTGAAGAATGAGTGCAAAATAATTTGTTGACTGTATAAAATTTGTTTGGAAAATGAATAAAAATTATTTAAAAAAAAATAGTGTGAGCTTGATGGTCCTGCTTCCTCCTCTGCCATCTTTGCCTCTGCCATCACATTGTGAGCCACCCTGAAATCTACAGTTGAAGTATACAAATTTTAAAAATAAATGAATACATGTCAATATGGGCCCCTGGGAGTGTTTTCCTCTCCTTCCTCTCCTTCAGGACACTTTGGAACTCCCTGCCTAATGAAACCAAGAGGCGCCTTCTTCATTGTTCTCTTTTTGGCTCCTGAGGAAAACATTCTTGCTCAGAAAAGTCGACCCAGATGTTGAGGAAGCTGAGGTGATTTTAATCTGGTTTTGTCTGTGTGTGTTTGTGCTTTAAAGCACTGTGGCAATTTTTCTCTTGGTTTATCTTTTAGTAAAGCACTTTGAGGTGCTGCTTTCCCCCCACAATGAACTGATGTATAAATTTTATGAAGTGAAATAAATAAACTCCCCAGAGTGTTTCCCCCTCACCAGCCTCCTGGGATTCTTGGCAGGCTGAGGGGGTTTATGACCCGCCCTCCCCACTAGCAAAATGTGGTTTGAAAATGGTGTCTGGTCTGCTGCTCTGCTGGCTGACGCTGCCTCCCAGTCTCATCAAGGGTGCAAAGGGGGCTAATGGAGGTTGTGTCAATCCCTCAGGAGGACTGTGGTGGATAAAGTCAGGACCCACCATGGGGGGCACAGGGTCTCCTTCCTCCTTGCTTCCCAGCCCCCAAATGCCGGGGTTTGGGGCCCAGGAGTGGGGCTGGGGGGGTTGTGGAGGCGCCATCACTTCAGGGGGGTCGTGAGGTGTGGCAGGTGGGGGTTTCATCTGGGCATCCATCATGTTTCCCTCTGAGTCCTGAGGGGATACTAGAAATTCCCTCAGACCTTGGTCAGCCTTGAGGTCTCCTGTCAGTTTCCCCCAGAAACAACAAATGGGGATGAGGAGTCGGGGGGGGGGAATCCTGGAGAGTTTCTGTGGAGAGAAGGGCAGACATTTCCCCCCTCAGAACAGGCAGGGAAATTTGTGAGGAACCTGGGCAGAGCCAAGGGAGTCTCCCTCTGCCTGAGGTGTTTCCCGCTCTTTTCTCCTGAGGGAGCCCAAACATGAGGAGAAAATGGCTTCCCTGTGGAGATTGGCATCCTTCCCTCCTCAGGGCCTGAAGGGTCAAGGAAGGGATGCCAAGGGGGGGGGGCAACGGACTCCATGTTCCCTCCTCCAAGGGGCCCATAGTCTGATAAATGGAGGAATAGAAAATTCCCTCAGGAGTTTTAGTCACAGGAAGATTAAAAAGATGTGTTTTTTTCTTCCCCCTGAAAGGTTCATGTTTGTGGAAACAGTGCAGAAGGCAATTGGCTCTTCTGAATAGCTAGCCTGAAATCAAATTCATAGTAGAATCACCTCAGGAGACCATGCGGTGTGTGGAGAGTTTTCCCAGGGAAAAATGACTCCCAAATGAGTCCCCTTTGATGACTGACACACAGACTGGATTGAAACAGACTTTTCTTGCTTTTATTGGGATGTTTGTGTGGTAAACCACCTTGGGGTGTTGAATGGTTACATTAAAAGGCCTTAAAGAAGTCAATAACCCAAAGGTGGGGAAGTGCTAGAGGTATGACAGAAGGTTACCTTCTTTCAGGTAAAGTTGTGTGGAAATGGGCAGATCAACCCTTTTTCTTACACCCAGGATTGTCAAGTGTGGCACTCCTTGAATATTGAAATTTAAAAGAAATAAACTACTTCAAGGACCACAGAGGGAAGCTGAAGAAAATCTTCACTGGTGCAACTCAGAGGAAATACTCTCAAGGCTGTGAAATCTGCTTCTGCCTTGAAGTGGGTCGGGTGAAGATCCCAGTTAGAGGGTGTAGGGATCAGATGGGATTACCATGAGGAATTATAAAATATACATCAAGCCATCGTGTCCACGATGAAAGCATTGTGTTGACTGGGTTTGAGATATTGACGATAATTTCTGATTAAATCCCATAAGATTCTACATTCATGCCCCTTTCATGCCCTTTTGACTCTACTGCCCATTTCTCTCTCCTCACGTCACGTACACAGCAGTTGCTTCGCCAGGCAGGCATCCTGGGCCATAAAGATAGTGGGCAAGTTACTTTGGTGTAGTTTTCTTATATATTTATCTTAAGATATTAATCTTGGAGCCAGGAAACAGATCTCACATGAAGGGGATAGTGATCTGGTCTTTCTGGCCATCCTTCTTATCATGTTTATTTCTTACCTCTGGGGTTGCCAGATGCTCCCCTTTGTAGTTCTCAACTTATTTACCCCAAAATATATGCATGCTAATTAGTGTTGTAGTGTAACTTTTTCCCCACGTGGGGTTTGATGAAATGCTCAGAGGAAATATGATTGGTTCTTATGAGCACTGTGTAAAAGATTCTTTTGCTAATAAAATGGCCTGGTGAGGGGTGTGGTTTACGCACTTTTCTCCGAGAGCCTCGTGTCTTGTTTTTTAATCAGGGTCCAGTCCTTCCTTTGGCCACAGAACGCAACAAGAGGGCTGATCCTTAAGATCACAAAAGAGCAGGATTATTTACAGAGAAATTGACAAACTACTCTCCCTGAGGAGATAGAATCATAGAATCATAGAATCATAGAATCATAGAGTTGGAAGAGACCACAAGGGCCATCGAGTCCAACCCCCTGCCAAGCAGGAAACACCATCAGAGCACTCCTGACATATGGTTGTCAAGCCTCTGCTTAAAGACCTCCAAAGAAGGAGACTCCACCACACTCCTTGGCAGTGTGATAAAGTCAGCAGGGTGAGGGTGGGGAGCAGGGACTCTCTCCGAAAACGGGACTCATCCTCCGTGTCGCAGGGCTGTGGGGAGAAGCTTTCAATAAATATATTTGGCCATTCACCATTTTATGGAATGGTAGAGAAGGGACCCCAAGGGTCATCTAGCCCAACCTCCTGCAATGAGGAATCTCAAGGATCAGGATCCCCATCAGGGCTTGAAGGACCAGTCCTGGCAGACTGACCAGATTCATGGTTGTTTTCAGGGACAGCTCAGGCTCCTCCAGGGAGATTCAAGGCACAAATTCTCTAGCATTCTCTAGCAGAGAGGTGCATAGAAGGAATCAGGTTGCCATAACTTGCAATCAACAAGCGGAAAGGGAAACACAAGAAGAAACTTTCCCCAAATGACAAGCAAGCAACAGAGGTGGGGGAGGGGTGGACACTGTCGTTCTTGATCGGTGACTCCTTCCATCCTCCTTCCAAGGAGGTTTCCACCCTCTGAGCATGGACAGAGGGCAACTGGCAGGAAGAACAGAGCTTCTCCATATCCCAGGATCCTGATGGAGCAGCGAAGTCTAACTGATGAGTCCTGCAGGCAGAGAAGAGAGAGACAAGCCCATCACTGTGGGGTGAGGAATGGGGAGAAAGGAGCAGAACAATCCCTGGCAAGATTGGGGGACACTCCATAGAGCGGCCATCAGAGATTGTGAACTACAATTCCCGTCGCCACCAGTTATGGGCCTGGCATGGGGGGCTCTGAGGGAAGGAGGCAGTGGGAGGGAGGCTGACCCTTCGCTCAGCACGGAGAGAGAGCCTTTGACTTACTGTTGAGACCAGGAAGTCAGACTCTTAAGAGATCCTGCAGGTGATTCTAGCCCTGGAGCCGTTTATGTGATAAAATGATACTCTACTGTACTCAGAATATTAAATTTCCTATTTGCTCAATAAGCAAGGGTTAAGGCACACAGAATCTCCTGTAAAAAACCCTAGAAAGCATTCTGTCTGGTCATATTCTCTGTTTCCACAGGGCAGGATGAGAACAATAGGAACATACTCTTTAATACTTCCTTCCTCTCCAAAGCCCAGCTCTCTTTCCACCATGTGTCCAAGTTGACCAGATGTACATGGCTAAAGCTCCTACTTTCAGCCATCTTAGCTATGCCTACCACCTTTTAAAGGTAAAGGGACCCCTGACTGTTAGGTCCAGTCGTGACTGACTCTGGGATTGCGGCGCTCATCTCGCTTTATTGGCTGAGGGAGCCGGCGTACAGCTTCTGGGTCATGTGGCCAGCATGACTAAGCCGCTTCTGGCAAACCAGAGGAGTGCACGGAAACGCTGTTTACCTTCCCGCTGGAACGGTTCCTATTTATCTACTTGCACTTTGACGTGCTCTCGAACTGCTAGGTTGGCAGGAGCAGGGACCAAGCAACAGGAGCTCACCCCGTCGCGGGGATTCGAACCACCGACCTTCTGATCAGCGAGCACTAGGCTCTGTGGTTTAGACCACAGCGCCACCCACATCCCCTACCACCTTTTATGTTAATGTAATTTAGCAGTATTAGTCAGTGTACTATTTTATGCTGTGTATGCTGCCTCCAATAAATATAAGTAAACTTTTTTTGTTTTGTTTATCTTACTGTAAATGTATGGTTCATTCTCTGCAACGTGGGATAAAGAGGAGGTCATCTGACCCCAAGATTAACTCCTAAACTTCAGTTTAGGAATTAAATGTTTTGCATGGATGTAAGTATGTATGCAAAACATTTAATTCCTAAACTGAAGTGCATACATAACTTTGATTCATAAGCATGCTAGAGATCCAGAGCTGGTTAAGAACTACCGACCTATTTCTTTGTTGAATAACGATTATTAACAGTTTGCAGACGTATTAGCTAATAGATTGAAAACTGTATTAAAAGAGGTAATCCATCAAGATCAGGTTGGATTTTTGCCGGGAAGACAAATGAAAGATAATGTTAGAAACATAATTAATGTAATAGAATATTTAGAAGTGAGCACAGAAAGACAACCAGCTTAATTTTTTTTAGACACCATGAAAGCATTTGACAATGTCTCCTGGGACTTTATGTTTAAGGTTTTGGAATATATGGGTTGTGGAGACATTTTATAAAAGGAGTTAAGGAAATATATACTGAACAAGCAGCAAAATAATGTACTTGTTGAGAATTGTAAAATATCCAAAGGAACAAGACAAGGTTGCCCGCTGTCACCTTTATTGTTTATAATAGTTTTAGAAGTTTTGGCACAAAAAATAAAATGTAATCAAGAAATTAAAGGAATAAGGGTGGAACAGACAGAATATAAATTAATAGCTTCTGCAGACCATGTGGTGATATCTGTAGAAGAACCAATAAAGTCAATCCCAAAAACACTAAAATAAATATTTTGGGGGGGAGAAATAGGCCTTAAGATTAATAAAGATAAAACCAAACTCCTGGAAAAAATATGAATGATGAGAGTAAAAATAAACTGCAAAGTTTATCAGGTTTAAAGATTGAAAAGAAGATTAAATATATGGGTGTGTAAAGGTAAAGGTAAAGGGACCCCTGACCATTAGGTCCAGTCGTGACTGACTCTGGGGTTACGGCGCTCATCTCGCTTTACTGGCCGAGGGAGCCAGCGTACAACTTCCGGGTCATGTGGCCAGGATGACTAAGCCGCTTGTGGCGAACCAGAGCAGCACACGGAAACGCCGTTTACCTTCCCGCCAGAGCGGTACCTATTTATCTATTTGCACTTTGATGTGCTTTCGAACTGCTAGGTTGGCAGGAGCAGGGACCGAGCAACAGGAGCTCACCCCGTCGTGGGGATTCGAACCACCAACCTTCTGATCAGCAAGTCCTAGGCTCTGTGGTTTAACCTACAGCGCCACCCACGCCCTCATTTGAGTTAACAGCAAAGAAGATACATTTGTATAAAGAAGATTATTTGAAAACTTGGGAGGATAATAAAATAAATTTGCAAATGTGGAGTAGAATGAAACTTTCATTACTGGGTAGTGTGTCAATTATTAAAATGAATGTATTACCAATGGAGTTATTTTTGTTTCAATCAATACCAGTGATCAGGTTGTTTCAACAAATGGCAAAAAGATATTTCTAAATATATCTGGCAAGTGAAAAAAACCCAGAATAAAATATAAAATATTGATGGATGCAAAAGAGAGCCGAGGTTTTTCCCTGCCGGATATGAGATTATATTATGAAGCATTTTGTCTGTGCTGGATGAAGGAATGGTTGTTCAATGATACATTGGGCAATACATATTGGTCATAATATAGAAATGGATGCATTTATGGAATATGGATATAAAATTTACAGCATGTTATAGTCTAAGAGAAAACTATATGAATATGCTATATAAATGGTATCTAAGTAGACTGGAAAAAATGTATAAATTCAAATCAAATATGTGTTGGAAATGTAAAGAGAAAGAAGGTAGCTTTTTCATATGTGGTGGTCTTGTAATAAGGTTAAAGCTTACTGGGAAATGATATATAATGAACTGAAAAAGATGTTTAAGATAACATCTATTAAAAAACCATAAGCTTTTCTTTTGGCAATTATGGGATCAGGACTACCTAAACAGTATAGAAATTTATTTATGTATCCAACCATAGATATAAGAATGTTAAAGGTAAAGGGTAAAGGGACTCCTGACCATTAGGTCCAGTCGTGGCCGACTCTGGGGTTGCGGAGCTCATTTCGCTTTATTGGCTGAGGGAGCCGGCGTACAGCTTCCAGGTCATGTGGCCAGCATGACTAAGCCGCTTCTGGCGAACCAGAGCAGCGCACGGAAACGCTGTTTACCTTCCTGCCGGAGCCGTACCTATTTATCTACTTGCACTTTGACATGCTTTCGAACTGCTAGCTTGGCAGGAGCAGGGACTGAGCAATGGGAGCTCACCCCGTCGCAGGGATTCGAACCGCCGACCTTCTGATCGGCAAGTCCTAGGCTCTGTGGTTTAACCCACAGCACCACCCGCGTCCCTTATTTGCCCCAAAATGGAAGGTTGAAGAGGTCTGATGAAAGAAGATTGGATACAGAAACTAATGGACTATGCAGAAATGGCAAAACTTACAAGATAAAAAATTTTAAAGAAAGGAATTGAAATGTTTATTGAGTATTTACAAATTGTAAACAGATTAAGACATTGGCAGGATTAATGTAAAAACCTGCAGTTCCAAAATATATATGGGATATATGCAGGAATAGATATATAAAAGAATATGTTGAGATAATTTGGAGTATGCAGGAAGATGAAAAGAATTGTGAAGAACCACAGTAAGAGGGGGAAGGGAGTCGGAATTTCAAATGTTAAAATTATGAAAAAAACAGAAGCTTTCCTATTAGGAGTTATAGGTGCAGAAATACCAAAGGAGCAGAAAAGACTTTTTATGTATGTGATGACAGCGACACAAGTACTCTTAGCCCAGAGATGGAAAAAAGAAAAAGCACCCACTAAAGAATAATGGTTAACGAAGTTGATGGATTATACGGAAATGGTGAAAATGACCGGAAGGATCAGAAACCAAGAAGACAAGAACTTCAATAAGGAATGGGGGGGAATTATAGATTAACTGAGAGAACACTGCAAACAGCTGAAAACATTGACAGTACAGTGGTACCTCGGGTTAAGTACTTAATTCGTTCCGGAGGTCCGTACTTAACCTGTTCTTAACCTAGAATCATAGAATCATAGAGTTGGAAGAGACCACAAGGGCCATCGAGTGCAACCCCCTGCCAAGCAGGAAGCACCATCAGAGCACTCCTGACATATGGTTGTCAAGCCTCTGCTTAAAGACCTCCAAAGAAGGAGACTCCACCACACTCCTTGGCAGCAAATTCCACTGTCGAACAGCTCTTACTGTCAGGAAGTTCTTCCTAATGTTTAGGTGGAATCTTGTTTCTTGTAGTTTGGATCCATTGCTCCGTGTCCGCTTCTCTGGAGCAGCAGAAAACAACCTTTCTCCCTCCTCTATGTGACATCCTTTTATATATTTGAACATGGCTATCATATCACCCCTTAACCTCCTCTTCTCCAGGCTAAACATGCCCAGCTCCCTTAGCCGTTCCTCATAAGGCATGGTTTCCAGGCCTTTGACCATTTTGGTTGCCCTCCTCTGGACACGTTCCAGTTTGTCAGTGTCCTTCTGAAGCACCACTTTAGCTAATGGGGCCTCCTGCTGCTGCCGCGCCGCCGGAGCACGATTTCTGTTCTCATCCTGAAGCAAAGTGCTTAACCCGAGGTAATATTTCTGGGTTAGCGGAGTCTGTAACCTGAAGCATATGTAACCCGAGGTGCCACTGTATTGTTATAACACTTGTAAATTATGAGTGAATAATTGTTGTACTATATTTTTAAAAAGGACTTAAATGTTTTGCAGTAAGTAATGTTTTGCAGTACTCTGCTCAAAGGCTTCAGAGCCAGAGATGCTTTTGAATTTCTTCCTCATATGTTGGACAGGAGGTTTAGGTCTTAATCTACAGATTTAAACCTCAGGCCATCTCCATAATAGGTGAGGCTCCATTTGAGGCACCAAGAGGGACCTCCTAGGAGTGGAGAAGGAACAGAACCCTCTCCAGAGCCTCTGCCTAAGAAGAGGGGGGGAGCCTGGAGCCCAATCCAGCCCCACACCCAACCCTCCCTCTCCCCCTGGCACCCCATGGTCACCTTTCTTGTTCTTCAGGTAAAGGGCGAGTCCAGTGGCCCCAAAGACCAGCCCCAGCACAATCCCCACAATCCCCGTCCACATCTTGCTCCTGGCAGAGTCCGACTGTGGCTCTGAAGGAAGAAAAAGCCGTGAGGGAGGAAAGGCAGGCCTGGGATCAGCCCCCTGAGGGGGGAGCAACCCATCTAGCCCCCCAGGAATGCCCCCCACTTCCTTGGGCAGTAGGTGGGTCAGGGCTGGGAAGGCATCCTACCCCATTTCACTGTGACGGGGCCTTCGAAGCTGGCGTGCTCCACCTGGCAGGCGTAGACGTCTCCACGTTTTGGCTTTGTCTCCAGCACCACCTCAATATGGAAGGTCCAGTTCCCATTCCGGATGAGGTCCGTGGTCCACACTTTGGGCTCCTCCTTCCCGTTCCTGAACCACTTGATCTCGATCCCCGCAGGGAAGAAGCGGTTCACGGTGCAAATCAGCAGAGTGTTGTGTGGTGAAGATTCAACGTTGTCTGTGGGGGTGATCTTCACCTTGGGCTGGACTGTGGGAGGGAGGCAAGGGAGATGTGGAAGGAAGGTCAGAGATTTAGGCAGGGAGGGACCTGGAGGCTTCAAGGGAGGGAGGAGAGGTTAAGGAGGGACCCTCTCCCACCATCCCAGTGGACAATCCAGAACTATAGTTAAGGGGAGGGGCTAGCCAGGGTCTCAGTCCTGTGTCAAGCCTCTAGAGGGGCACCATTCAGGCTCCCAGCTTTCTGGGGCTTTCTTCGACATGAGTGCCAGAGGGCATGGAAACACCGTTTACCTTCCCGCCACAGCGGTTCCTATTTATCTACTTGCACTGGCATGCTTTCGAACTGCTGGGTTGGCAGGAGCTGGGACAGAGCAATAGGAGCTCACCCAGTCGCAGGGATTCAAACCGCCGACCATCTGATCAGCAAGCCCTAGAGGCTCAGTGGTTTAGACCACAGCACCACCCACGACCCCTGCTTCTTCCAGTACACTGGTATTAGTTCACCTATCTTCCCAAGTGATGTGTAAAAATTTTCGGAGACACAATTGATGGAATCTTTCGAGGAGTTGGAGATGGCGTTTATAAGTGGTCCATGTTTCACAAGCATACAGTAAAGTTGGTAGTACAATAGCTTTGTAAACAAGCATTTTGGTTTCCTTGTGAATGTCCCAGTCCTCAAACACTCTGCACTTCAATTGGGAGAAAGCCGCACTCGCAGATCTCAGGCGATGCTGGATTTTGGCATCAATGTTGGCCCTTATAGAAAGATAGCTGCCTAGATGGGAGAAGTGATCGACATTTTCCAGTGTTACACCATTGAGTTGGATTTGTGGTGCTGCAGAGGGGTTATTTTATACTTGTTGGTGAAGCACTTTGGTTTTTTGATTGTTGAGCGATAGGCCAAGCTTTTCGTAAACTTCTGTGAAGAGCTTTCTATCTGTTCGATATATGATTTCTGCTCCGGTGGGGAGATTCCCTTCGACAAAGTGTAGGATCATGGCAATGAAAGTAATGAAAGTAATGAGTTGGGGCAAGAACACCTGTTTAACACCTGACCCCACTGTGAATGGTTCACTTTGAGACCCATTGTTATCTGTGGTTGTTGCTGTCATATTATCATGGAGGAGCCAAATGATGTTCACACATTTATCTGGGCAGCCAGTTTTCAGGACAGTCCACAGGGCATTATGATTTACAGTGTCAAAGGCCTTAGTCAGGACAATAAACACCATATACAGGGGTTGGTTTTGCTCTCTGCATTTTTCTTGAAGCTGTCGAGCGGTGAAAATCATGTCCACTGTCCCCCAAGAAAGCCAAAAACCATTTTGGGATTCAGGAAGGGTCACCTCGGATATTGTTAAGAGACGGTGTGCTAAGATTATTATTATTATTATTATTATTATTATTATTACAGTGGTGCCTCGCAAGACGAAATTAATCCGTTCCACGAGAGTCTTCGTCTAGCGGTTTTTTCGTCTTGCGAAGCAAGCCCATTGACGGATTAGCGCTATTAGCGCTATTAGCGGTTTAGCGGTTATTAAAGGCTTAAAGGCTTAGGGGATTAGCTGCTAAAAGGCTATTAAAGGCTATTAAAGGCTTAGCAGATTAGATAAAGGGGAAAAGCGGAAAAAAATCTCAAGACTCGCAAGATATTTTCGTCTTGCGAAGCAAGCCCATAGGGGAATTCGTCCTGCGAAGCAACTTCAAAACGGAAAACCCTTTCGTCTAGCGGTTTTTCCGTCTTGCGAGGCATTCGTCTTGCGGGGCACCACTGTATTATTATTACAGTCATAATATTTATTTTTTCGGCCCACGGACAGTCAATCAATACTACAGTGGTGCCCCGCAAGACGAATGCCTCGCAAGACGGAAAACTCGCTAGACGAAATAGTTTTCCGTTTTGGAGGTGCTTCGCAAAACGAATCTCCTATGGGCTTGCTTCGCAAGACGAAAATGTCTTGCGAGTTCCTGCGGGTTTTTTTTCCTCCCCCCCCCTTTTCTAAGCCGCTAAGCCGCTAAAAGCCGCTAATAGCGCTAATAGCGCTAATCCGCTAATCTGTCAATGGGCTTGCTTCGCAAGACGAAAAAACCGCTAGACGAAGAGACTCATAGAATGGATTCTTTTCGTCTTGCGAGGCACCACTGTACGCGCCCAGCCCCCAACTTCCCACTCCTACCAGTGGATCTCTGACCCCCCCCATCTACCCAGAGTCAGCCCAGTTTCCCCAGTGTCAGACTGGGCATTCCACAAACTGGGAACTCCTACTCCCTGGGGGTCCTGGGATGCCCCTCCCCTTCCTAGGACACTTTCCATCCTTCTGTCTCATTTCCGAGTCCTGGGAATCTCAGGAGTTTGTCCTTCCTATTTTCCTAGCAAACAGGATGATCTTCAGAATTCACTGCACAGTATCCTTCACTTACAGTAATAATAATAATAATAATAATTTTTATTTATACCCGCCCTCCCCAGCCAAGGCCGGGCTCAGAGTGGCTTACAAGCAATAATAAAAACAAGTTGAATGATTACAACTTAAAAACAAAATTAAAATACAACATTAAAATATTGAAACATTAAAATATTAAAATGTAGCCTCATCGCAGGAGGAGAAGGAAAGGAAAAAGAAAGAGAGGGAGGGAATCAAATTGGCTCCAAGCCAAAGGCCAGGCGGAACAACTCTGTCTTACAGGCCCTGCGGAAAGAAATCAGATCCTGCAGGGCCCTGGTCTCATGAGGCAGAGTGTTCCACCAGGCCGGGGCCAGAGTTGAAAAGGCCCTGGCTCTGTTTGAAGCTAATCTAACTTCCTTAGGGCCCAGGACCACTAGGGTGTTGCTATTTATGGACCTTGAGGCTCTCCGTGGGGCATACCGGGAGAGGCGGTCCCATAGGTACGAGGGTCCTAGGCCACGAAGGGCTTTAAAGGTCAAAAGCAGCACCTTAAACCTGACCCTGTACTCCACCGGGAGCCAGTGCAGTTTGAAAAGCACTGGGTGAATATGCTCCCATGGCAGAGACCCCGTGAGGAGCCTCGCTGCAGCATTCTGCACCCTCTGGAGTTTCTGGGTCAGCTTCAAGGGCAGCCCCGCGTAGAGCGAATTACAGTAGTCAAGCCTGGAGATGACTGTCGCATGGATCACTGTGGCCAGGTCGGGGCGGGAAAGGTAAGGGAGCAACTGCTTGATGCGGCGAAGGTGGAAAAATGTCGCCTTGGCTGTTGCTGTAACTTGTGCCTCCATGGAAAGGGAGGCGTCAAGGATTACACCCAAACTCTTAACGGAAGGCAATGGCACTAATTGGGCCCCGCAAGAGAAGGGAGTTGGTCCCTCATCCCCATGCCATCCCGACCCAGCCATAGGACCTCTGTCTTCGAAGGATTTAGTTTCAATCGGCTCACACGAAACCATCCAGCCACAGCTTCCAAGCATCTGGTCAGTGTGTTCGGGGCCGAGTCGGTGTGGCCATCCATCAGCAGATAGAGCTGAGTGTCATCAGCATATTGATGACAGCCCAGCCCAAAGCTCCGGATAATCTGGGCAAGGGGGTGCATAAAGATGTTAAAAAGCATCGGGGAGAGAATTGCGCCCTGCGGCACTCCACACACCAAGGAATGGCGCGACGACATTTCCCTCCCTAGTGCCACCCTCTGTCCCCGACCAGAGATAAAAGAGCACAGCCAGTTATGGGCTATGCCCTGTATCCCCACGTCTGCGAGGCGGTGATCCAGAAGATCATGATCGACCATGTCAAAGGCTGCTGACAAATCTAAAAGTCCTGACCCACCTCGATCCAGTTGCCTACAGAGATCATCTGTTAGGGCAACGAGAGCCGTCTCGGTCCCAAAACCAGGACGGAAACCGGACTGAAATGGATCTAAAGCTGATCAATACAATGATCAAATCAGTACAATGGTCTACTCAGTGTTTCCCAAACTTGGGTTGCCAACTCTCTTTGGACTACAATTCCCATCCTCCCCGACCACTGGTCCTGCTCGCTAGGGAATTGCACAAAGACAGCTGAGGTTCTTGTGCCTTATAGAGCTGAGTGGAAGGCAGAAATTCAACAGGTTAAGCCCTTTTTCTCCTGTAGAAATGCAATTATTGGGAAAGCTTCACCCGTCAGACATTTGTGTGTGTTTGAGCATGAGAGAGAGAGAGAGAGAGAGAGAGAGAGAGAGAGAGAGAGAGAGAGAGAAACCACCAATTTATTTTTGGGCCCTTCACTCCAACTGAAAAACAGCACATCAATTTGTGTATGCTATACAGCAGATGTTATGCAAATCCACAAGCACCCCCCAAGTGATTATAGTAATTTTCCTTTCAATATACTTTTGATTTAGGGATGATACCTGGAGAATGGGGGGTGGGGGGGAGCCTGATAGTTGAAAATAGTAATGAGTAGGTGGGAGGGAAATGGACTGTGTTTATAATTATTATTATTATTTAACCCTGTATGTATTTGATTTTGAGATTGTGAGGTTAATTTCTAACCCTAAAATAGGGTTGCCATATTCCCCCATTCATACCAAGTTGCGCTTTCAGGTGGGGCTGTTGAGCTTTGGGGGGAACATATCCTGCTTTAGGCTTTTTTGGATTTTAAAAGCAATTTTTAAAAAATTGCCCTACTTGCCATATGTCTGACTTTTTTCCATTCGGCAACCCCCTCAAACATTCCCAATTCTCCTGGTGTATGTAGGAAAACCGGGACGTATGGCAGCTCTGCCTGAATCCATGTCAGGTGTGCAAGAAACTTGCTAAGGTGACTCAAATAATAACTGAGTAATGTCCAAATAACATCATTTTGTACCTAAAAAACGCTCAGGGTTTTGGTTTGAAATGCGCTCTTCTCCCCATGAAAGGCTGCCTATTCCCCCTTGCAGCCCCCCACTCTAATGTAGCCTTGAGGCTCCCTGGGTGTCCCTGGGCAGCCCCTGCCCCTCAGCCCGGCCTCCCTCATGCCCCCTCCCCGATTCTGGACTCACCGCGCCGGGCCTGGGAGAATGGCTCGTAGATCCCGTAGTAGTACCGGCAAATGTCCACGACGGCCATCCAGTTCCGCAGGAAGCCCTTGTCCTGGTTCCATGCCTTGACGTCGGACTCCATCATTTCAGCCACCGCCACCACCTTCCCTCGGTCGCTGTCGAAGCAGAAGAGCTCCTGCCGGTCGAAGAAGTGCCTATCGATGAGGCGGACCCGCTGCGTCCCGTTGAAGAAGTGGCACTCGCCCTTCGCCTGGTACAGGAAATGCTCTGTGGGGGGGGGGAGAGAATGAAAATGGGGGAGTCAAGAAGGGTGAGCTGGGGGGAGAGCAAGAACTTCAGGGGGAGGGAGGCAGAGAGATGGTGTATCTGTCTCACGTTCTCTCTCTCGTGTCACATGATCCCATGGCCGGGGTGTGTGTGTGTGCGTGTGCGGCGGAGGCTGAGCAGGGAGACCCCCCTTCTCCTCCTCTCAAAGGAAAGGGAGAGACTGGCAGGAAGGCCGTTGTGCAGGGGGAGCCACAACCTCCAAGGCCCTGGCCCCATGGGCATAGCCAGGATTTATGTTGGGGGGGCAGAACTGATCTATCTGCTTTATTTATTTACTTTATTGGGGAGGCAGTTGGAAAGTGCAGTGCTGGTGGTCAACAAAAGAGGTTTAAAGACTTTCTCAAGGCAAATCTTTAAAAATGTAGCATAAACACCGACAACTGGGAAACACTGGCCTGCGAGCGCTCCAGTTGGAGAACAGCCTTTACCAAAGGTGTCATGGGCTTTGAAGATGCTCAAACTCAGGATGAAAGGGAGAAATGCGCTAAGAGGAAGGCACGCTTGGCAAATCTAAAGAAATGTAGCATAAGCATGGACAATTGGGAAACGCTGGCCTTCCAGTTGGAGTACAGCCTTTACCAAAGGTGTCATGTGTGGAAATGTTCAGGAAGGAGGAGAGGATATATTGTTTATTAATATTCTTCCTAACTTGAGCTAGCAAGTTCTTTTACTTAGCAGAGTTTTACATTCCCCTTTTAAATACACAGAGGATAACAGGTTGCAGGCTTGTGTAAGCCTCTCACTATTAGGTTCCTGGTAAGTTCCCTTATATCCCTCTTAAAAGAATAAACACACGACAATCTTATCTAAAGTCAATAAAAGAAGTTTACTCACATCATCAGTTCACAGTTGGATCCCTGAAGGCAGACATATATATATGTATATATACGTGTGGATCTATCCCATATGGGGATAATCCCAGTGTCCTCTGTTGGCTGTAAGCCAATAGAACATTTCCAGCTAAAAAGTTGCTACAATGGCGGAGGAAGTCAGAGAGTGTGTGGCAGCATGCTTGTCCTTTTGTCACCTGCACAGGTAAGGTCAGGCCTACCTCTAGTCACGTGCAAAGGAAGTATGCCTCAGCCAGGAGGAAACAGGAAGATTTCGACTGGCTGGACCAAGCATTCCCCCACATGTCCACTCTAGGAAAACAAGGAATGTTGTACTTGACTGCTACTTATGTATCACATCCCACATCATGGACTTTGAAGACACTCGAACTCAGGACGGAAAGGAGAAACTTGCTAAGAGGAAGGCACGCTTGGCAAACCCTCACCTTGATCAACTCCTGCCTGGAAACCCATGTCCCCACTGTGGAAGGACGTGGGGATCCACAATTGGCCTCTACAGTCACTTATCGACTCCCTGCTAAGACCATGTTCAGGGAAGACCAATATAAGAGGGATCACCAAGGAAGCCCCACTGATGGGGGTCCCGCTAAGCCGAGTTTCCTCTTCCTTCTTCCCCCATTGCAGAATCTTTGCTCACCTGGAGGCTCCTCCATGCCCAGCCCCTCCGAAGCGAAGACCACCAGCATCCCCAGCAGGAGCCCCCAAAAGGCCAAAGGCGCAGCACCAGAGCTTCCCATCCTTCTACCCTGAAGACTCTGAAATGGGACTTCCTCCACTCAGCCCCTGGAAAAACTCCAGCCCAAGCCCAAGCCCCACCCACTCCACCTCTCCTCCCCGCGAGTGGCCAATCCGCCTCCAAGCCGAGGCAGTGTATTTGGTCGCCAGGCAGGAAACTCTTGGAAATAGCATTATGCTCTGGATAGATCTGGAAGTTCCTCTTTGCCTTTTCTGCTTCTGATGTCTTCATCGTTGTTGCGTCGCATGTGAATAAACATCTTCCCAGAAGCCCCCTGGAAAACCTATGGGGGGGGCTATAAAGCTTAACAAGAATCTGTCAGTTCCTTTTTATAGATATAAGTATTTTTTATTAAGTTTCACAAATAAAATTTCCATCAAAATATTCACCCTTGCACATAGGAAAGAGTAAGGAAGTTTTGTGTGTGTCATCACAGGATCATAAAGGCCATGTCCCCCCAGTGGAAACCAGAGAGCCCCCCTTCTTTGATTTCAAGGGGGAATAACTGTCTGCTGAGGGAGGGGGCTCCTCCCTTCGCCCCCCAGCCTGCATCCCGAGGAGACCTGGCAGCCCCCCAACAAGGAGACCCCTCCCCCAAATGAAAGCCCCCTCCAGCCCCCAGCTCCCCTTTGCAAGAAACATCCCTGGTTCTAGTGTCTGAGGAGCCCCATGAAGAAACACACGGGGGGGAGACAGAGAGGAGCCCCCGCAGCCCCTTCCCTGGAGGAGACCCCTCCCCTCTTGGGCAGATCTAGCACGCCCCCCCCCAAAAAAACCCCTATTAGCTGCCCTTTACCTGCTACTGTTCTATCTCTGCCTGAGGATGGTTTACCTGGAGACAGGCTGGTAATTGCCAGGGTGCTTTTTCATTGGCCGAGCTGGCAGGGACTTTTCTGCTCCGCCAAAGACCCCCACTGGCTGCCCTCTCCCCCAGCCACTTGGAGGACGAGCATCCAGGATAAGGTTACCAGATTTTTTTTCAGTGAATCTGGGGTCACGGTTCAACTTCAGTGGATTTTGTATGGGGACTGATTTGTAAATCCATGGACCGTCCCCAGGAAACGGGGACGTCTGGTAACCTTACCATTTGCCCCTCACCTCCCTCTACAGCACATGCAGAATAGGCCCACTATTGGCCTCATCCTCTCAATCCGCTGGAGCCTGTCTTCGTATGCAGGGGAAGCCCCTAACTCACTGAGGGCTTGAGACCCATTGACTACCATCACCTGGTTTAGCCGGACAGTCAAAGCCATTCCTGCGGTGTGGCTGCTGTCACATGCTGACAGCTTGTGGGAGCCACAGGTGAGAGCTGAGTGCAGGGTGGGGATCAGAGGTGGACAAACCACCCCAGAAGGAGCAGGATGTGTCCCCCACTAGATGTAATACCCCTCCTCTAACATCCCATGCACTCCAAATGGGTCCAAGGAAGGTTTGCTTAGAAAGAATCCTGCTACCACTGCCTTCAGGCAGCCTGGGAGATCTCCTTCTTGAGGTGAGGTGTTGATTATCTTCCTAGCCCACCCAGCTGCAAGATTGTACAAGCAATGAGAGGCAAGGGCCCAAGACACAAATGGTTGCACAGACCCAGCCCAGAACCTTCTCCATGTCTTCAGGCTTCAGTAACAGAAACCACAACAGTCCTGCAGAGTGGTTCGCTGTTATACCACTATTGTAAGCTGGAGGTCTGTGCTGCGAGACAGTAACATCCAGCATCCTTGCAATATAGTCCACTGGCAATAATGCAAGTCAGAGGTGAGGCTGGTTTGGATTTGCAGTCAAAAATCATCCATACATCTCAGATTGCAACAAAGATAAATTCACTTAAATTGCCTCCTCAGTGCCTCCTCCCAGGCCAAATCAAGCACTCAGCAGGAGCCTCATTATCCATTAACTTGTTTGCAGATTCTTGCACCGTTAAATGTTCAAAAACTAAACACCTGAAGTAAGACCCTAGTTAGAACAATAATTCTTTTATTTGATGCTAACTGTTGTGTTTCACTCCTACTCAGCCACCAGCTCAGTTAATGCAGCTGGTAGCCTCTGGAGGTGGCTAAAAGATGAGTGACAACATATAGGGGCATGATGCCACATTTTATGCTGCTCTCGGATTGGGCCTGGGCTCGGACACATGTCCTTGCCCTCCTGGTGCTCTCTCCTACCTCTCCTCCTCAGCAGCGGTGGCAGCAGCGGAGCAGCAAGGTTGGGGCTCCCCTCTTTTTTTCTCCTTCCTCTTCCTCTTTCTCTCTCTTCCTTCTCCTCCTTCTCCCTGTGTCGGCTCTAGGGTTTTCCTGGCCCTGGAGCACTGCTGGGCAGTCGGCTGGGTGGCCAGGCGCTCTCGCTCCCGGTTTGATTTGGGTCACGGGGGGGGTCAGCAGGTCCCCCATTTGACACACCTGGTGTCCCCAGTTCCCCCTCAGCAGTGGTAGTGGCAGCAGTGGCGGCAGCAGTCTGCTTCAACAGCACAAGACACATATGGGGACCTCCGGCAAGGCAGTCTCAGCAGCCCAGAGCGCAGTTGGCTCTGGCTGGCTTCAAGAGCTGCTCGCTGCCGTAGAGCCCTCCATTTTGCCTCGCCGGAAGTCTCCATATGATGTGTCTTGTGCCGTTGAACCAATCATGCAACATTCATTCCCTACTAATAAATCTACAACACTTAAAATATAAATCCGGGAACATTAAATGAAATGCAGGGACATTCCAGGGATGGATTTTGTCCGGGGACAGATTCGTAAATCCGGGAACTGTCCCTGGGAAATGGGGATGTCTGGTAACCTTAATCCAGGAGGAAGGGCCAAGGGACACTTTGGCTTGAATCGCCCCTTTTGGTGGTCGTCCCTCGCCCGCCTCGGCCCAGGAAGAGCTGCAGAGATGCTGCAGAGATGGACCCCAGAGGAGGAAGAGGAAGAGGAGGAGGAAGAGCCCTTTGCTGCCTCTGGGTGACCCTCCTCGCCCCGCCAAGGGGGGCCGGAGCCCTGAAAGGTCAGGGGGCGCAGGAGGGAGGGGGAGATGCCTGGGGAGGGGTCCCAAAAGGTGGGTTAGAGGGTACTGGGGGAGAAAGATTGCGCCCCTGGGTGTTGCTTGTCGGCAAAGCTGGAGGGGTCTCCTTCGCTACAGGGAGGAGAAGCCCCCTCCCCCCGACAGGTGCAGATACTATACGGAAGGATTGGGCGGGAGGAAGGAAATTGGACGCCCCCCCCCAAAACACAAAAGAGTGCTGGGAGGGGAGGGGAAGGAGGATCTGAACCCTCAACTAAGCTGGTCCAGGGGTTTTAAAAATAAAAATAAAGGGGGGGGACTGCAAACAGCACCCACCCACCCCACACACTGTCTTACTTCAAAGCTGACTCTTCACATCTGGCAACATGTGCTACCAGTACCTATGTAAGGAGGGTATGAGTTGGAGTCTAGCAGAAGGGGCCCCTGAGCAGTGATCCTTCAGTATGGCAACATTTCTCAAATCTGGGATAAGTCTGGTCTGGTGCAAGTGAACAGGGGCCTCCACAGCAGGAGGGCTGATCCCCAAAAGTCAGAAGTTGGAGAAGGGCTGATCCAGAGGGAAAGAGCTAGTGAGAGAGTGGGGTGCGGGTGGCCTGATCTTTGCAGGCTGCCTTCCTCCTCCTTCCTCCCTCTTGCTCCTTCTCCCCTTCAGCAGCCCAGGACACAGATAGAGACCAGCAAGTGCTGCACTCTAAGGGGTTTGGCAAGAGCAACGCGTTTCCTGCCCAGCAACCGATGACCAGGCAGCGTCGGGACATTTGATTGGCTCCCATCAAGCCTGCCCTCCAGGAAAGTCCCCAGGAGGACAACACTATAGACCGCCCCCCCAAGCAGCAGCAATAGCAACTCTGGTTTACCCCCCCCCCCTTAACCCTGTTTTGTGCTTCAGGGCAGAAGTGGAGATTGTGACATTTGGGTTCCCTCGAAACAGGAACTTTTTAAACAAGTCAAGGTGGGGGGAGATTTCCAGGGGAGCTGCCAGGGCAAGGCTGTGGGGCAGGAGGCCAGGGCCCCCCTCAGCAGAAAGAGCCACAGGTCCTGTGAATGTGAAAGGACCGATTTGCCTTGAAATGGGACCATTTGAAGAAGGAGAGTCTGCCAAGGGCACGTGGTCCCAAGAGCCTAAGATCCTCCCAGGGCCTTCTAAGTGGGGGGGGGGCCTCCTTAGGATGAGCAGAGGAGCCTCTTCCAAATTTCATCCCTGGTATCTGGGATGAGGCCAGAGCAGGGGGCTCTGAAGCCTTTCTCCTCCTCAAAGACTCATGGAGTTGTAGAGTTGGAGGGACCTCAGGGGTCATCTAGTCCAACCCCCTACATTCCCTCTCTTCCGCAGACCAACCCTGCCTGCGCTTGGTGATGCCTGGGTCTTTTTCCCTCTGAGGAAATCCCTTCTCTCTGCGGATTTTGTAGCGTTTGCTCCCTGTCTTAGGGTGAGCTTGATGGCCCTGCCTCTTCCTCTGCCTTTACATTGTGAACCGCCCTGAAATCTACAGTTGAAGTATAGAAATTTTAAAAATAAATGAATACATGTAAATATGGCCCAATGGGAGTGTTTTCCTCTCCTTTCTCTCCTTCAGCACACTTTGGAACTCCCTGCCTAATGAAACCAAGAGGCGCCTTCTTCATTCTTCTCTTTTTGGCACCTGAGGAAAACATTCTTGCTCAGAAAAGTTGACCCAGATGTTGAGGAAGCTGAGGTGATTTTAATCTGGTTTTGTCTGTGTGTGTTTGTGCTTTAAAGCACTGTGGCAATTTTTCTCTTGGTTTATCTTTTTGTAAAGCACTTTGAGGTGTTGCTTTTTTTCACAATGAACTGATGTATAAATTTTATGAAGTGAAATAAATAAACTCCCCAGAGTGTTTCCCCCTCACCAGCCTCCTGGGATTCTTGGCAGGCTGAGGGGGTTTATCACCCGCCCTCCCCACTAGCAAAAAGTGGTTTGAAAATGGTGTCTGGTCTGCTGCTCTGCTGGCTGACGCTGCCTCCCAGTCTCATCAAGGGGT